CTCACATCAAATCTGTGCAAGAGTATGGAGGCAATGGTGAACATTCGCATAAAGCACCACCTTGAGACAAACGCACTCTTATCCCATGACCAGAGCGGTTACAGATCAAACCGCTCATGTCTTGACCACATTTTCCGACTGGAAAATGATATCAGATTAGCCCAGGTCAGAAGCAGTACCTAGCTGCTGTCTCTTTTAGACTTCAGCAAAGCCTTTGACATGGTATGGCACGATGGACTCCTCCAAAAACTAGAGAATGTTGGTGTACAAGGGAAATTGGCAAATTATGTTCAAAGTTTTCTGCAAGAAAGGTCAATATCAGTCTTAGTTGGAGACCACCTGTCTGATCGACACAGGTTAGATAATGGCACACCGCAAGGAAGCATTATCAGTCCCACACTCTTCAACATCATGATTGATGACCTATTTGAACATGTCCGAAAGGACGATAACATCAACACCTCTAAGTTCGCTGACGATGGGGCTGTTTGGGTTAGACATCGAGATGTTCTCAAGATCCAGGCTCTGATCCAGAAAACCCTCGATGGTGTGGAAAAATGGTGCGACAAATGGGGATTTACCATCTCACCTGAGAAAACAATCGGAGTGGTATTCAAGCGGAAGGGTAGCAGAATATGCAACACACTGAGTCTCAAACTCAAGGGCAAAACGGTCAAATTTGAGAAATCCTCGGGGTTACTTTCGACCAACATCTCACATGGGCAAAACACATAGACAGCATAGCCCATAGGTGTCAGAAAGACCTCAATGCAATAAGAGCTGCATCCGGCAGCTCTTGGGGAGCAAACAGCGATACTCTCCTGACCCTATATAAGACCCTCATCAGAAGCACAATAGACTATGGGTGTGAAGCATACCACAGCGCCTCCAAAACGGTTCTAAACCGGCTTGAAACGATTCAATATCGTGCTCTTAAACTGGTTACGGGCGCGGCGCCCCATACCTCCCACCAGGCCCTACTAGTGGAAACTGGGGAGCTACCACTCAAACTCAGGCGTGAGAAGATGACATTGAACTATTGGAGTCGCTGCTCCAATCCACTCGTCTCTAGACTATTGGAAGAGAAACTCTGCCGTGGACGCATAAAAGCATGGCTCCAAAAGAGACCTGATATAACACCAGGCGGGCTCAGAGTCATTCAGCTTAGGCGAGAACACGGATGCGACCGGGTAGAGCCTCCAACATGTCAAATGACTGTGCAATGTCCCCCATGGGAATTTAAATCACCCAATGTCGATACCACTCTCACAAAAGAAGTGCCTAAAAGTGAGAACCCAATGTTGCTACGAAGCATTGCGCTTAGTAGGATTGACTCACTTTACGAAGACTCGGCTCACATATATACTGACGGATCCAAGGATCCTGTGAGAAATAGAACCGCCTATGGTATCAAGATATACACAGCCTCTACCAAACAAACAATCTCGGTCCGCCTCCCTGACGGACAGTCAGTCTACACAGCGGAGCTAGAAGCCATACACCATGCACTAAGGTACAGTGAAAACCTTAGAGAGAAAGAGTGGTCATCCTCTCTGACTCTCTCAGTGCACTACAGTCGCTGGCAACTAAGCATTCGAGCAGTACACCTGACACCATCCGAGACATTTTGGTTCTCATTCAGAAACTAAGCAGGGAAAATGAGAAAGATATCACACTGTGCTGGATACCATCTCACATAGACATTCCCGGTAATGAGAGAGCTGACAAACTAGCTAAACAGGCGCTAGAATTGGACGTGTCACTGGATCATCCTTACTCAAAAAGCGAAATTCGAAGTATGATCCAAGGTTCGATCACTAGCAAGTTGCAGAGGCAATGGGACACCTCAGACAAAGGCAGATGGTATCATGGACTCCGCCCCAGTGTGAAAGGGACGCGAACTACTCCCTCACAAAACAGGCGAGTCGACATCATGATCACCCGCCTAAGACTAGGTAGCACCAAAACCTCATATAAAAACTGTCAAACATGTCACACCAAAGCTACAGTCCCTCACATTATGCTGGATTGCCAGCGGTTTGACACAACCAGGCAAACACTCAGGGAGGAAACAGGGATAGGTACATTGACAGCCATGCGACTGCTGGCTCCCGCAGAGCACCTTGCAATGTACAGACCGTTAGCCAATTTCCTCTTGGAAAGTGAGCTATGTCAGTATATCTAAAAAGAAATTATATCAATCAAGCCAGTCTTCAGTTTGCTCGAGGGCGCCAAGGAGATTATACCACCCAAGCTCCTGACCTCAGAGGACCAGCCCAGCCAGAACAGGGAGACAATTTCACCCAGGCTCCCCCCACCACGCTCACGCCGGTCGCACAGCCTGTCATAACGCCCGGTTGCCAGACTGGTCCACCAGTCCACCATGCGTCCCAAAGAGGGTCTTGAAACAGGGTGTGGCCGTGTCCACCCCCTAGAGTAACAGCAGGGGAGTGGCCGTGTCCGCTCCCCAGGGTGATAGAGCAGAATGAGAGCATGGGAGTGGCCATGTCCACCTTCCAAGGTGAGAGCAAGGGAATGGCCATGTCCGCTCCCCAGAGTGAAAGGAGGAGTGATAGCAGGGGAGTGATGGCCGTGTCTACTCCCCAGAGTGACAGCAGGGGAGCGGCCGTGTCTGCTCCCCAGAGTGACAGAAGGAGCGGACACGGCCACTCCCCTGCTTTCAGAGTGTGAACAGGGGAGTGGCCGTGTCCACTCAAAAAAAAAAAAAGGAGAGACGCCCAGACCCAACGCCACAAAGACAACCCGGTCCAGCCCCAAGAGTCCCAAGGAGGGACACAGCCACCACACCCATGAGTCCCCACGCATCCCAAGGAGGGATAGGTCTGCCGACATGCCAACCGGCGAAGGCGACCTCCAAAGCATCAAACCCAACGACAAACAAACAATTCATTTTAATTTGAAAAGGAGCCCTAGTAAGAAGGGAAATTCCGAACCTGAGGAAATCTAGACTTGCTTCATTTAGTGCTTTAGCATTGCAGACGGGGCTAGGCAGAATGGAAAAACATTCGGTTCAAGGAACGAAAATTGTGCACCAAACAAATTCCTGGTTTACACTTATGACCTGCCGAAATCCGTGCAAGAGGGCGCGATGTTCGCGTCATTTTACTTCCACCAAATCGACTTGAGCGTTGGAGTAGCGTGAAATACGTGAGCGGTAACTTGTATATCGGTAACCTGATCTGCAGGCTTCTTGGTTCTATGGGCAGGAGGTGTCATGCAGACATTCCCGACATATGGTGTTATCACTATTTGATAACAGTTAATTAACTCTTGCCTATGATATTTACGAGGTAAAACCATCGCCATTATAGAGTGGTGCAGACAGATTATTTAACTGATATTAATTATTAATTTTTAATCGTTTTATCCAATGACATTTGTAATGCAGCACATTAGCTTCTGAAATGTGTGGATGTTTTTCTGTTTGTCATAGAACGAAACGCGGCCACATTCCAGCCATTTGACGCCGGTCTGTAAATAATCAAGTCTGGACCAGACAGATAGGTGCTTCGTTCTTGGAAATTGGCTCACAATGACATGCATCAACTAAATCATTGAGTCTGACCGTCCGATCCCGACCGTCGCCTCTTACTGCGGTTCATTCTCATTTACCCACCACCCTAGAGTTATTACAAAGGATAGGAAAGATTAGTGTTTACGGCCAAGTGATTATACTGCTCACTGTGAAATTTGGTGATGTGTACGGTCGGGGACTAACCAACACAATCTAGCCCTGTCCAGGTGAACGGTGTTCATGAACTGTGGTCTTTGATTTATTGTTTTTAAAATTTAGTGAACACTTTTTACCATTAGTATATAATAATGATGTGTACGGTCGATCATCAAATGAGTCATGATTGCTAACCAACACGTGAAGTCAAGTTCATTCCCAATGGAAGAGGTGGCCAGTATCCAGTTTTTCGAAACTATAAGTTCACAATCAAGAGAAGAAGAGGTGAATCTATCCATTGGAACTGCTCCCAGAAAACCTACCACGCCAGTGTTAACGCCAAAGATACCAAAACCACCACGCAAGAAGATGAAGTGCTGTACGTCCATTTAAATAGTAGATTGTGTAATCTTGTGGCATTAGTATTGTGACGCACTTTCCCTATACTGGCTATTGAAATGTGTACATATGTGCATGCTTTTGTTGTATATTGTATATGTTCTTATAAATAAAGTGATACACCTGATCATAAGAACATTTATGTCTATGTGATACTTAATGTTGAATATTATTGGGGGATCTTACTTCAACCGCTTTTAACATGCATCAGAAAATCCAGCGATTTCAACAAACTTAGGAATTCCAAAATGTTTAGGAATTTCAACATGCTTAATGATATCAACAATTTTAGTGATTCCAAAATGCCTAGTAATTTCAACATGCTCAGCGATATCTACGTGCTTAGTGATTCCAAAATGTTTAGTAATTTCAAAATGTTTATTTATTTCATCATGCTTAGTGATTTCAAAGTAATTAGACAGTGAAACATGTTTGGAGATTCGAATATGCTTGGTGATACCGTATAGCTGGTTCAGCGTACACCAGTGACTTCTATAAGGTTTAAGATTCCAGCTCAATAAAGCCGGATGCTTACGTGTCGTGAAGTTTCTGTCTAAATACACCGCCTCCGTGGTGTAGTGGTTAGAGCGTCCGCCCGGAGAGCTGAAGGTCGCGGGTTCGATCCCCGACCGCGTCATACCAAAAGACGTTAAAATATGGTACTTGTTGGTCCCTGCCTGGCGTTCGGCATTAATGGCTACAGCAAGGACTGGTCAGCTCGAAGTCAGTATAATGTGTCTGAGGGGGATATTCATGCTTCACTGCGGCATGGTATCTCAGTGGGCTAATACAAGCAGCCGCACATACACATACACACGCATGCACGTCGTCATATGAGCGAAATATTCTCAAGTACGACGTAAAACCCAATTTCACCTCACTTATCTAAATATTAGAGTTACATACTTACACTTGCCTCAGCAAATGATCCCTCTATGTTGGAGAACCAATAGCAAGAAGATCCGTGCTCAAGGAATCCCCTAGGACACCGAGGCGTATCTGCAACACAATTCAGCAGACTAAATATTCAACTGTTGGTTATTGAACATTGGAATTCCACATACTACAACATTGAGCTCCAAAGCGGAGCACGTTAAAACATACATGTATCTGCTTAGTGGCGGTGGCTTCGTGTTAATACACTTAACATTTTCATTGTTAGGTGAGTGAAGAGGTGTGTGAGTGAGTATGGTATTACGCCGCTTTTATCAATATTCCAGCAATATCAAGGCGGGGAACACCAGAAATGAGCTTCATACATTGCATGGGGAATCTAGCCCGGGTCTTCGGCGGCGTAACGAGCGAACGCCACCGCCCCTCATTGTTAGAAACATATGTAAGAACATACGTGGGACTATGACACCATCGTTTCAAAATTGCAGTACTTCCTAGCAAATTTCAAACTATGACCTATAGATTTAAAGAAAATGAACTTTATGAAATCAAAAGAAGTAAGACATCTCAAATTACAACTTCCTTGATTTGTCTGATTGTAACGGAGAAAATGGTTACATTGCGAAGAAATGCATTTTAAGATAATGAAAGAGCGTGTTCAAAACATGTAAATGCCAAGAGAAGAAAAATATCAGGAAATACAGACCATTTGCGCTTTGACGGCCATATTGAAATCAGATCTTTTTAACAATTTCAAGTTTGTTTCAGAAATATGACGATTCAACGGTGCAGTGTTATTCGACAGATTCCGGACAAGCGACTCACATAGGTTCAGCTGACTCTCAGTAAGGTGAGCTAAAATTGAAATATTATGATGAAAATATTTACCTTCAGCAGCAGTTACTGATGCCAGTGCGCACAGTAAGACAAACACCAGTCCGGGACTCATACTGCTTGGAGACAATGCTGATTGTGGACACTGGTGTGTCAACGTAGCACCGTAATTCGCCGCGTTTGTCTTTAGACACAATGTGCAGCTTTTAAGTATCCCAACAAGGACGTTGATTTACCAAGACATGTGCTGAACCAATGAAATACTTTTCCTGAAGGGAAATGCGGTTGTCACTTACGGACTTTTCATAAGTTATGGCTAGGGTTAGGGTTGGGGTTGGGTGGTGGTGGGTTGGGGTTAGGAAGATGATGATTTTAAGGGGTGTGTGTCACCCATTTTGTTCTGGGGAGATAGGGGGTCATCAATTTTGTACACATGAACTAGGGGTGTGTGTGTGGGGGGTGGTGGGGTGGGTGGGGGTGGTCAGCAACTTTGTACTTATACATATGAAAATGAAATAATTATGCTTAAAATTCATTGGAATTGGGTGGGGACATTGATTTTGAACATGACACGAGGGGGTCACTTACTTGCATATAATTTAGAGGGGGGTGGGGTGGGGTGTGGTCATTCACATTGTACATGCTTCTCCATAAAATCAACAATGTCATTAAAATCGGCCTAGACTAACAACTAGTCACTGAAATGAACATATTTTACTGAAAAAAGTTCATAGTAAAAAAAATATAATATAATGAAAAGGAGCCCTGAGACTTTCTTCATTTTCAGAAGCTGAGGAAATCTAGACTTGCCACATTTTCTAGACTTGCGTGGGCTTTCTTGGATATATTTACTTCAGGGTCTGTATGACAGACTAAATCGTCCCTAAGGGTTCACTTTCTGATTGGTTAAAGAGAGACTAAGTGCCACTTCCTCAAGTCCATTTCCAGTGGAGTTGTGGCGCTGGTTAAGTTCCCTGTCAGACTTTGCATGTGACTAATTGTTTGATTCATAACATTTTAATATTTGAGTAAGCAGACAATAAAAGATCGTTTTGAATAACTTCTTTCGGGTTTGGTAGGGCTACCCATTTAGTGGGTCCGAGTGCCCCTTTAAAGAAAGTAAAAGCAAGACAATAACCGTATCCTGTCACACGTATGTCACACGTGGCAAACACATGCCCATTACCTAACTATTGTAGTAGTATTTGATTTTGTCTCTCTGTAGGCTGACTGACTGACTGACTGACTGAGTTTAGTTTTACGCCACTTTTAGCAATATTCCAGCAATATCACGGCGGGGGACACCAGAAATGGGCTTAACACATTGTGCCCATGTGTGCCTTCGGCGTGACGAGCCAACGCTTTAACCACTAGGCTACCCCACCGCCCCCTCTCTGTAGACAAAACAGGAGGAGTGAGTGAGTGAGTTTAGTTTTACGCCGCACTCAGCAATACCCCAGCTATATGGCGGCGGTCTGTAAATAATCGAGTCTGGACCAGACAATCCCGTGATCAACAACAGGAGCATCGATCTGCGCAATTGGGAACCGATGACATGTGTCAACCAAGCCAGCGAGCCTGACCACCCGATCCCGTTAGTCGCCTCTTACGACAAGCATGGGTTACTGAAGGTTCATTCTAACCCGGATCTTCACGGGTCAAAACATGAGGAATAACGCCTCAATTAGCCCTGTTCAGGACTTTTCAAATCACGACCCCTCGTCTTTAAAATCTGATTTATATCCATCTCCAATATAGTTTTAAACAAAGTAGGGGATATTAATTAAACAAGTGCCACCACTATTGTTATTTTGTGTCTTCAATTAGATAACTAGTTTAACAGGGTAATATACTGACTGAGATATGCATTAGTCGTTGTACGGCAAGTGACCACAGACTGAAAGGATGAAAGGCCAAAGCCCCCCCCCCCCCCCCCCCCCCCTATCTAATGTCTATCACGTCATTTACTACCATAACTCATCAATATCGCCTGAATCTCTCTCTCTCTCTCTGTCTGTCTCTCTGTGTCTCTCTCTGTGTGTCTCTCTCTATCTCTCTCTCTGTGACTGACTTACTTTGTTACTTTGATCTTCAGTAACCCATGCTTGTCGTAAGAGGCCACTAAAGGGATCGGGTGGTCAGGATCGCTGGCTTGGTTGCCACATGCCATCGTTTCCCAACTGCGTAGATCGATGCTCATGCTGTTGACCACTGGATTGTCTGGTACACGCTTGATTATTCACAGCCCGCTGCCATAAACCTGGGATATTGCTGAGTGCGGCGTAAAACTAAACTCACTCACTCCAACTGTAAGTTCCTGACGTGACCGGAGGCTCATGTAAAAACCAATTCAACTGAACTAAGTTTAAATGAATATTAGAAATCTGTACAGCAACACACTCAGACGTTTCACTGAGTTATAAAGTTATAAAGTACCCCGATCATGGATAACGCTTGTTCTACCCCCACGTGTAGTACAATGTGATGGAGGTTTGTTGGGGTCTGAACTAAACTGACATACAAAAGAAAGTACACATACAACACGTGTGTTAACACGTACACTATGTTTGTGCCTTGTAAGTCACAATCTGAACGTTTATCAAAATAAATACGTTGTTTTAGAAACAATCACAACGCACCAGGTGCGAACTTTCTTTTGTAAGTCAGTATGTACTACAAAGTTGTGCTTTCACTATAACAGTTAAGGGCAAAGCTACAGTTGCAGTACACATGGTGTAGGGCGAACTATATTTCACAAGTACAAGACTGCAACTAGCCAATAGGATGGATTTTATCACATGTTGTGGTTAGAGGTTATTATAAATGTTCTCGTTCGATGTAAACATGTTGTTTGTGTTACTTATCGCAGTGTAGACACGCTTCCTGACAAAAAACCTTGTCCGTTTATAACCGTAATGATTTTTATCTGCATGTGAACCTATATAGAAGGAAATGGTGTGTCAAACTCATGGTTTCTATCAGAAAGGAACAATGCGGCTTGCACAGATACGGCTTCCTGTTCTGTTAACTGTTAGGTCATATTTGCCGACACAAGTATAACTGAAATCTTTCTAATATAAATGTTCGTTATGAACAAAATCATTAACATTGTGAACGAGTTAGTTTTCCTCTGCTTGTAGCAATATTCAAGCAATATCACGGCGGGGGACACCAGAAATGGCCTTCACAATTTGCACCCATGTGGGGAATCGAACCCGGGTCTTCGGCGTGACGAGCGAACACTTTAACCACTAGGCTACCCAACCGTCCCGGTGCCGTGATAGAATACTGATAAAACAGGCGTAACACTATACTGGGGCGGTGGGGTAGCCTAGTGGTTAAAGCGTTGGCTCGTCACGCCGAAGACCCGGGTTCGATTCCCCACATGGGCACAATGTGTTAAGCCTATTTCTGGTGTCCCCCGCCGTGATATTGCTGGAATATTGCTAAAAGCGGCGTAAAACTAAACTCAGTCAGTCAGTCAGTAACACTATACTAACTTTAACGAGACCAGCGTGGTTACAGCATATGCTATCGTCTCATTGCGGAGATACTGGAGATTTTACAAGAGCTTCACGTCATGGTGACTGATACTTGGAATGAAACGTCTCCCGAGAGTGAGTGAGGTAAAATTTTATGTTGCATTGGGAATATTTCAACATCTTAGCGCCGAGAGCACCTCAAACATTCATTAACAGCATGTACATTGAGATAGTAAGGTTCTCATCACAGATGGAACACAGAGAACACATAATGTCATGTCAAGAGGTGCTCTCGTCTCGAGGTGAGAGGAGTGCTCTTTATCTTTCGTCCCAAATACACCCGGGAAAAAGTTAAGCACCCCTAAATATGTTGACCGCTAATAGAACTATGTTCAAGTTCAGTTTGTGTATGATGATACGTATGCTGATAATATTCATTTACGAAGATAATAAGATGGCCAGAGAAGGCACGTGTCTCATATCGGTATTTAATCTGCATGGGTTACAATGTTCAATCTTATTTCTGCCACAACGGTACGGAGAAGATTATCAGATGGCCAGAGAAGGCACGTGTCTCATATCGGTATTTAATCTGCATGGGTTACAATGTTCAATCTTATTTCTGCCACAACGGTACGGAGAAGATTATCAGATGGCCAGAGATGGCACGTGTCTTATATCGGTATTTAATCTGCATGGGTTACAATGTTCAATCTTATTTCTGCCACAACGGTACGGAGAAGATTATCAGATGGCCAGAGATGGCACGTGTCTTATATCGGTATTTAACGCATGGGTTACAATGTTCAATATGCCACGATGGTACGGAGAAGATTATCAGATGGCCAGAGATGGCACGTGTCTTATATCGGTATTTAATCTGCATGGGTTACAATGTTCAATCTTATTCCTGCCACGATGGTACGGAGAAGATTATCAGATGGCCAGAGATGGCATGTGTCACATGTCGGTATTTAATCTGCATGGGTTACAATGTTCAATCTTATTCCTGCCACAACGGTACGGAGAAGATTATCGAATGGCCAGAGATGGCACGTGTCTCATATCGGTATTTAATCTGCATGGGTTACAATGTTCAATCTTATTTCTGCCACAACGGTACGGAGAAGATTATCAGATGGCCAGAGATGGCACGTGTCTCATATCGGTATTTAATCTGCATGGGTTACAATGTTCAATCTTATTTCTGCCACAATGGTACGGAGAAGATTATCAGATGGCCAGAGATGGCACGTGTCACATGTCGGTATTAAATCTGCATGGGTTACAATGTTCAATCTTATTTCTGCCACAACGGTACGGAGAAGATTATCAGATGGCCAGAGATGGCACGTGTCACATGTCGGTATTAAATCTGCATGGGTTACAATGTTCAATCTTATTTCTGCCACAATGGTACGGAGAAGATTATCAGATGGCCAGAGATGGCACGTGTCACATGTCGGTATTAAATCTGCATGGGTTACAATGTTCAATCATATTCCTGCCACAATGGTACGGAGAAGATTATCAGATTGCAAGAAATGGCGCACGTGTGTCATGTCAGTATTTCATCTGTATGGATTACAAATGTTCAATACTTCTTCTGCCACTATGGCACTGCCACTAAGAGATGGCAACTTATTGATATGCATAACTCCGGGATATCCTTGCAAGCAATTGGTCAGGAAATGAATGTCCACGTA